GCCAATTCTACAGTGTTACTAATGTACTTGCTTTTTGGTACACCCATCGGTGTTTTGGGGCGGGGAGAGCAGAGGGTACTGTTGGGATGGGGGCAAAGAGGGAGCACGGGGGCTTAGGGGTGTAAAAACTATCAATTTTTTGAACGGAGCACCGTAGGTTATTGTTGTCATAATATGACAACAATATTTGTTGTCAAAAGAAGCCCACTGTTAGTTTATACTCCCTCCGTCCCAAAATGTTTGCCACATTTGCTTTTCAACTGTTACGAAAACTTTGTTTATTTGTACGCTTTCATTAATTATTTGATAAATTAAAATATTATTGACACATTTTATTTTCAAAAATATTTAATGTAGTTTTTAAATATGTAAATTTTATATTTTATTTCTATACCAATATTTAAATAAAATAAATTTAAAAAACTCAATATTTTATGTTTGTTTTTTGAAACGGCCGGTTCTAGTGACACCGGAGAACGGTGCCACTGGGTTTTTGGGGCACCTCCGGTGCTCCATTCGTAAAATTGACGGTTCCTACCCCCCCTAACCCACCCCCTAAACCCTCCACCCTACCCCCACCCCTGCACCCCGCCGTAACCCCCCCACAAAATGTGTGGCTATTATGCATTGCATAATAGCCACACATTTTGTGGGGAGGTTACGGCGGGGTTGGGGTGGGGGTGCAGGGGTGGGGGTAGGGTGGGGGGTTTAGGGGGTGGGTTAGGGGGGGTAGGAACCGTCAATTTTACGAACGGAGCACCGGAGGTGCCCCAAAAATCCAATGGCACCGCTAGTGGCACCGTTCTCCGGTGTCACTAGAACCGGGCCGTTTTTGAAATGTGGTAAACATTTAGAGACGGAGAGAGTATATTTTAATTTGTTAGACTAATGGGGATAAAACCTTTTTCTTTTCGTCTCAACCCAAGCCATCCTCCTATATACAATGGTAGGAGGACCTTAGGAATAGTGTTCCCGCCATTTTCTCCACCATCAATTGGGCCAGACCTTGCTGCTGGACATGGGCCGAGATTTGAACTGGATTGGGCATGCTGCTGACAATTTATTGGGTTGCGTTTGACGGCTTGGTGTGGAGCTCCATAAAGCAATGTAATAATGGTTTATGTGGAAGTGTGTCATATCAATGCTTTACATCTTATCAATTTAATAGTTAGATTTACAAAATCTAAGCATTTAATGTGCTTAAATTTACTTTCTTTTTCCAAATAATATATATACACCTCTTTCCATCCAAACCTACACCACTTCACTATATTGGCATTAACATAAGTTTCATATATACCAAAAATATGGCTCAAAATTCCGAAAAGAGGTCCATGACAATGTTCAGTCCAATTGCAGAACTCAACATCGATAAGAATTCTTGGATTCTCATGTTGAGGGCTATTCGGGTTTACTTCGTTCCTAAGTGGGCGAAAGGTGGAGATTCCATGGAGATCGTCTTTCACGATGAGCATGTAATGTATTCTACAAGTTATTACATTTGTTTTTTTTTTCAACCCAAAATTCATAATCTCATTTTGTATACTTTTTTTAGGGAACTAGGATTCACGCACATCTTGCTCGGGAGGAGCAAGAGAAGTTTGAAAAGCAAATCATTGAGGGTGGTGTTTACGCCATTCGAAATGTTTTTTTCCATGACAATTACCAAAGATTGAAAACTGTTAGCAACGATAAGCTCTTGGGTTTTTTCAAAAAGACCGAAGTGAAAACTTTAAATCGGAGTAATTTCCCCCGGATGATGTTCGACTTGAAGCCATTTCCAATTCTTCAAAGTCAACCATGTTTGAATGATCAACTTCTGATTGGTATTATTTCTTACAACATTTTTTTTAGTCTTAAGCTTTTTATGAAAATAAAGTGTGGCCGAAATAAATAGGTGCCAAAAACTGTCTATCTTTGTCCTTCAAAAAAAATCCAGTATTGATACATTTACGAAATGACTTTTGCCGAGACAGATTGCTTGACCAATTGCTTTTTTCCACGTTTCAATTGAAATATAAAAACATTTACGAAAGTATTGATACATTTTATGATTCGAAAGTATTGATACATTTACGAAAGTATTTATACATTTTATGATTCGAATATTGATATATTTATGTATTTATAAATTAATATTTACACAAATTTCACATGAGAAATTTGTACACATTTTATGTTTTCAAATATGTACACAAAAATATGTCGAGACAGATTGGTTAACCAATTGCACAGTGAAATATGTACACAAATACATAATGACACAAACACATAATCATAACAAAATATACATAGAGACAAATTTCACTTTAGAACATGTACACAAATGCATAACGAAATATAAGTGTGATCAATTATGGGAATAGCTAAGCAATTGCTTCAGGTATTATTTCTTACTATATTTTAATTGAAACGATTCAATTGATTATTTTTCAAAAATAATCTAATTACCTTCATGCATTTCACAAATGATTTTTTATTTATCAATATTTGATCCAGTACGTAATCACAAGAATTGTTATGCAGACGTGATTGGAAAGATTGTTGCCTGAACCAAGATTCAAACAAACTTAATCAAAGGCAAAGAGCAAAAGTTTATAGAAGTTACTGTAGAAGACCATGAGTAAGCTAAAATATTATACAAAATATCAGCAGTCAATTAAATCATCCTATATACAATGCTAAGATGACATTGTGAACAGTGTTCCCGCCTATTTTACCACCTTCATTTGGGCCGGTTTCGGGCCTAGCATTGTTGAGCCGAATTTGGGCTATCTTTTTTTATGGCTATTGAATAGGCTTGCTTCCTATGGTGCGTGGCTCCATAAAGTAAAGTAATGATACTTTATGGAGCATCTTGCCAACTGCCAAGCTTTAAGTCAAATCAACTCTATATGGGTTGTGAAATCAACTATTCCCCAAGTATCTTTGAGTGTTGTCAAATCAACTTTATATAGGTTGTCCAATCGGTGGTGCTTTGCTCCATGATGTGGTGCGTTGCTCCACAAAGTAAAGTAATGATACTTTATGGAGTAAAATGCCAAGCTTTAGGTCAAATCAATTAAATAAATAGATTTGCACAATATAAGAATTTAATGTGTAGGTAATTAGTTAATTCGCTAGGGATTATAAATACACTTCTTCGAGCATTATAATAAGCCAATTCGTTAAACAACCCTATTTGAAATTTCGTATTTATGGCTCACATTTCTCAAAAGAGTTCAAAGACAATGTTTACTCCGAGTTTAAAGGTCTTGATGGGTAGTGTATTGATATGGAACCGCGAGCCTTATAAAGTTGGTGCGTGACTCGATACAAACTTTATGTCAAATCAAAATAAATAAATGGGAAGTGTATTGATATGGAACTGCGTGCGTAGTAATGTTGGTGAGTGGCTCGATGCAAACTTTATGTCGAATCAAAATAAATAAATGGGTAGTGTATTGATATGGAACTATGTGCATAGTAATGTTGGTGCGTGGCTCGATGCAAAATTTATGTCAAATCAAAATAAATAAATGGGTAATGTATTACAGTGGAATCGCGTGCATAGTAAAGTTAGTGCGTGACTCGATGGAAACTTTATGTCAAATGAGAATAAATAAATGGGTAGTGTATTGTTATGGAACCGCGTGCGTTTTAAAGTTGGTGCATGACTCGATGCAACCTTTATGTCAAATCAAAATAAATAAATAGGTAGTGTATTTATATGGAACCGCGTGCGTAGTAATGTTGGTGCGTTGCTCGATGCAAATTTTATGTCAAATCAAAATAAATAAATGGGTAGTGTATTATTATGGAACCGCGTGCGTTTTAAAGTTGGTGCGTGACTCGATGCAAACTTTATGTCAAATCAAGATAAATAAATGGGTAGTGTATTGCTATGGAACCGCGTGCGCAGTAAATTGGTGTGTCGCTCTATATATATACTTTATGTCAAATCATATTAAATAAATAGATTGATTGTCCAATTAATATAGTAATTAGACTCCAATCATTTCATACCTCTCATCCCAATTCGGCCCACTTTCAAAAATGTCTCAATACATTCAAAGAGTATGTGAAATGTGCTTGCCGATATTGACAATAGTCGAACCACTTGGATACTTATGTTATGAGTTGTTCGTGTTCACTTTGTTCCGGCTTGGACAAAAGGAGGAGATTCAATGAAAGTGAGCTTTCATGATGAACATGTATTGTATTCACAATTTTTTAATATTTGGTTATATGTTATTATTATAATTTAATTTTATCATTTTCTTTCATCAATGCTTTCCCCAAGGGATGACCGGAGTAGTTTATAATTAGACCATGCAACGCACGGGTACGAGTCTAGTGAAATTCCAAACACGCTAGCAAGGGAGTAACAAAATTTGCAATATCCATTGACCTCTTAAAGCTTCTACCTCCTCACTCTCTATATATATACACCAACACGCGAGCCTGAACACATTACAAGCTTTACAATCAAATTCGGAGAACCAAATAATCAAAAACCCCTCATAACCTGCCGGAAATTTCAAAATCCTCACCGATCGGAGGTAGCTATGAGCTTGAACGGCCGGGAATATAAGCCCGATGCAACGCTGGAGATCAGGCAGCAGCCGGAAATGAGCGGTTCAGATCGGCCGTCTGTGGATGTCTGAAGCTACAAAACGCGCCGGGCTGCGCCGGCCGGCGGAGACATTCAGGCGAAGAGGGACGACGGGGTATGCCGGCAAAAGAAGAGAAGTTTAGAGAAGGCGGAGTATTTGTTCCACTTGGTTTACTGGGGACCTAATTAGACTAACGTTTCCTCTTTTTTGAGGACTAACACTGCGTTTGTTTGGAGGTAGGAAGAGGTAAAGGGAGGTAAATTTAGTTTGGGAATAAAAAATGAGATAGGTAGGGGAAGATAGAGGGAGGTAGAGTTACCTCTGAACAGTGCATTTTACGTGACCGCCAAATTGGCAAAATATCGAGGTAATGAAATAGGCAGCTGCCCTTCACCCAATCGCACGAAACCAATCGCCATCTTCACATCGTCTTCTTCTTCCGGTTCCGATCGCACAGGTATTCTATCGCCTTTCAATTTTCACTTTTTTTATCCGAATTCCTATCGCCATCTTCACAGATTGTTTTTTAGGTGCTTATTTTTGTTCTGCGATGGACTTCAATTTCTATCGCCATCTACTGCTCTTTCTTTGCTTTTTTTTTGCACTTCAATTTTCATTTTTTTTCCAATTTCCTGAATTTTTTTCACTTTTTTCGTTCTGCTCTACTTCAATTTTACACTTTTTTCAATTTTCAATTTCCAGTTTTTAATTTCCTCTGTTTTTTTGTTTCCTTTTTTTCAGTTTTCGTTTCTTTTTTTCTTTTTTTTCAGTTTTCAGTTTTTCTTTTTTCACTTTTTTTTGTTTCTGTTTATTTAGCTCTAGGGTTAATTAATTGCTGTAGATTGATTTATCTAGTTAACTATGCAAGAAGCAATTTATCCTTTTTCACATTGTGATATGGAAGACAATATTGCAATAGATGACTCTTTTTAATTTTCAATTTGTATTTTTTATGCTTCGTGAACCACTTTTGATACCAAAATACTCAAATGGATTTTTTAAGAAGTTTTGCCTTTGACATCCTAAAAAAATAAAGAAAAACAACCACAAGGATGTTTTGGTAATTTTTTTTATCTCACGTTACCTAATAAACATCCAAACACAATTTTTTAACTCATTACCTTACATTACCTACCTTCAATTACCTACCATTACCTACCTAATAAAACTTTTACCTACCTCCAATCAAACATAGCCTAAAGGAAATGAATTAGACTATGTTTATGAATGGGAAGAAAAAAGGTCATTTTCTTTCTACAAAAAAGAACTAGTATCACACTCGTGCATTGCACGTGTTATTTTTATGTTATTAAATTTAGATCATTTTTCAATGATAAAAAATGAGATGCAATAGAATATAGAGATTATATTATTTTAAGGTACAGAACATCAATGTTTTACAAATTTCGAAAGACTTCTTTATAGACAACATTATTTGTAGTCTTTCCGTAACAGTAGTCCAACATGTTTCAGAGATTGTATCTGGCTCTTGTTAATCGTCATTGCGTACGAAGTAACCACATGAAATTGTCTTCTTTGAAACTTGAAGAAAATTCTTGTATCGGACAATTCAACCGAACGCCACTACAAAAAAAAGTTAAAATTATTTTTAAATTTAATATATATCGAAATTAAATAAATAATAAATATTTTTGTAATAGATACTTTAAAAATATATTTCATAATGCATAGTTATGTAAAGTATACATTATGCTCAATATATTTTTCCTTATTTTCAAAACGCGTGTAGTGATTTAAAACATGAAAATTTTTTCTTTCTATAACAATGGAGGCAATTAATAACAATCCTTTATTAGCAATTAGTTAATAAAATAATGTTTCATGAAATTGAATTATTTAGTAATTAATATATATCCGGTCATAATATTTTTTTATTAAAATGAATTCGGTTTTTAAAAAGTCACATACATGTGGTCCTTCAAGGTAACTTCCATCATTTGCTCTGGGGCATTATTAACCATACGGGTTTCGGGCGCGGTTCGACTAACTACTTTCTCGATTATATCTGAAAATCCAGAAAAATACAATTTTATAAATTTCATAATCATAATATATGAAATGGGCATGTATTTCATATGTGTAAGTATTTAAGTTATGTAAATGTAAATGAGTCTTACCGACTAAAAATAATTGGTCAGCAAACTTTGTTTTGAGTACATCTTCAAAACTCTTAAAGTTGAATACAAAAATTAGGAAACACTACAAGAATCTCGCGTAAAAGCTGCAAAAAAATAGAGGGGGATATTTCCGCCTCTAATTAGCTGCAGAGCAGAGGCGGAATATTCACCCTCTGTTTTAAATTTTTATTAGTGGGTAACATTTCCGCCTCTAGTTTCGTAGCTAATTGAAATAAATTTCAATTTTATTACCGGGAGATTAAAGTTAAATAAAAAATAGCGGGAGAATTAAAAATTTAAATTTTTTTTAAAAAATATTCGAATTAGAGGCGGAATAGTCCCCCACTAGTATCAAACACAAAAGAGTCGGACTTATCCCTCGCTAAATCCAATATTTCCCCATCTAATTCAAAAATAAAAATAGTGTGGTAATTTTGTGTGGTATGTATCTCCCCCTTATCCCATTAAGGAAAAAAAGTCCCTCTTCTGTTTCTCCCTCAAAGCACCCGAGGAGTGACCGGCTAGCTGAAGCAGCCGCATGTGAGAAGCCGCTGAAGTGAGAAGCCGTCACCCCCGCGTCGCCG